GACTGAAAAGTAACTCAGCCCGACTCAGACAACTTACTGGGGTTATATTCGTAAAAATGTCTTCTGTTTTTTTGTTTGGTCACAGAGGACTATATTGTAATTTCATAGCCCTTTTAGGTTAGATTTGCATTTGATTCAAGTTGGGGTCTAGTATTGGGGTTAAAACCAAGTTGTGGGTTAGTTTTGGCAAAAACCCCAACTTTATTTTATAATCAAAATCTTATTTTTAAGTATTATTATTTCTGCGTATGGCACTTGAAACTTTAGTAAAGTAGTCATATAAAGTGAAAAACTAAGTGATAATAAATCTAATATGTTTATTATTTTAGTTTAAGTTATTATTTTGTTCGCATAAATTATATTTTTGAATTATGTGTAACTTTTAATCGATTGAAACTAAGATAAATTTTCTAGTATAACAGATTAAACCAAATTTTTAACCATATTTATAACCTGGTTATTTTACATTTTTAATTTTTACAATCAACACAAAATTAATGTTGATTAGCTAATAAATAAAAAATATGCACTATTATGGTAATATAATTAATGAAATTGTTAAGTTAAGTGAAAATGGAAGGACAATTAATACAATAACTTTTTGAAATAAGCATAAATTCTATTTATACTTCAATTTTAATAATATAGATATTAAAAGCTATGCAATTTTGATCTTAGATTGATCCAAAATCTACACAATTTGGATCCACAAAATAAAAATCAGACAGATGAAATCTAGGAAGTGTATTTAATGGGGGTTGTAGATGATTTTAAGGAATTAAATAATGTTAAGTAACTTTTGTTAAAGAACCCTAAAATATTATATAAAATTATGAGATTTGAGTTTTATTTTTATTTTTAAACTAATAAACTCCACAAAACATTCTAAAATCACTTGAAAATTTTCGAACTCCATAATTTAAAATATTTTCAATAATAGTAGATTTCAGATTAGTTAAAGAAATGTTAAGTTTGATATTTAAATGAGTTTTTGAAATTCATATTTGAATAACAATGAATTTGTCATTTTGATACAAATCACATAAACTATCAGTTGAATATACTCTTTATATATATTAAGCAATATTTAAGACTTTATTTTATTAGGACAACAATTATTTACCTTTTTAACATTAATATCCCTTAAACACTATTTGTGAATTGATTTACATAAATGTCATCAACACATACACATTCAATCTTAATCAGAGATTGTTATGTCATGTTTATTGGAGATTTTTTGGGTGTGATTTTTAGTTTCGGTCAAGTTATGTTTATGTTTTTTTGGGTGTGATTTTTGGATGTTTATTGATTTACTATTTGTTAAGTTATGTTTCTTAACTTTTAACTGAGAATCAAAAATCGACTCCTAATAAGAGATATAAGAATTGGTTTTTAACCAAATATATATATATATATATATATATATATATATATATCAAATCATGAATTAAGAATTTCATCCTAAAAATCTCCAATTAATAAATATGCCATAAGTAGCACCATCATTATATATATATATAATTATTAGGCACAAATATTTTTTATTAATATTGTTAATATAATAATAAAATTATTAAAGAAATTATATGCCTCGTTTATTATGAAATTTAATACTATCCACGATATTATCGAGATCTATTATTTATGTGGTGGGGTGGTGAAAGATTCAAATTCTGAAAGTCAACACATCTAAAATAACATTTTTATTATTATAATCTAAACAGATGGGAGTCACGTTAACGGCATTGAGTAGATATATCAATATATGTAATAATACAATACTCTAGACTTCTAATTCAAGTGGATGGGGATAGAGAAAGATTCCAAATCAAAATGTCACAGACACTAAAATAATTTCGTTTATTGTAATTTAAATATTTAGTCTTAAACTGGTTTAGCTTTGGCATGACACCAAATTAGTCAATATAAGTAGCACCATCAACTCCAAATGTTATCACTAACATCAAACCCAAAACTGGTAATACACAGAAAGTGAGAATGGCGAAGGCAATAAAATCCCTCTCTCTCTTGATCGTTCTCTCGATTTTCCTTTTGCTTGTATCTGGTAAGTAAAGTTACTATTCATTTCTAGACTTCTTTTTTTGTCTAATCTTCTTGACATATTTGGTAGTAGTTTTATAAATTTATTCACTTTTGCTTTCAAGTTTACAAAGATCTATTTATGTATTTTGTGATTCATATGTGAGAGTTAGGAATAGAAGAATATTATATTCATTTTCATAAGACGATGTACTTATAGAGGGAATGAATTAATCTAAATCTAACTCATAGAATCATATGCGGATACAGACACATCTCTATTATATATTCCCAGTATCTTCTTTGATTATATGGACTTTCTTTAGATCCTATCATAGAGTCCTTTTATTTTTATTTTTATTTTTGTTTTTGTGGCAGCAACTTCTTGATGTATGCGTCTATTTGCTTGTGTTTATAACAGATATGCCAACGACAGAAGCACAGGATGAAAGACAATGCAAGAAAGAATATGGAGGTGACGTTGGTTTCCACTTTTGTGATGCTCAAAAGTATCCGACCATGTGTCGTCAGAATTGCATTAAGGACAAGGGAGCTGAAGACGGTGAATGTGAGATGGAACTAGGCTGGTGGATGTGCTATTGCATCTTCTGCGACGAATATGCACCACAACCACCAACTGATGATTACTGATATGTTTGGATCTTTTGTTACGTTCTTGGTATTTTGCATAAGTTTTATACTCATGATTTGAGTAACACGATTGTGAGATAGTCTAAGTAGTAATATAACAAATAAAATAATCATCAATATCACTGTTATCAGGAAATAATTGTTATTGTAATCCATTTTCTATAAAAAATAATAAACCATGTGTTTATCTAAAATTGAGTTCATATCTATTTTCAGTTTCGGTATATACTACTACCAAATTTGTTTTAGTATAAATCACAAAACGGATAGTCTGAGGTTTCATTTTGCCTTTTTTTCTTAGATTCACATTACACTCATAGTTACAGTCTGCAAATATTATTCTTGGCCTAGCTATCTTTAGCGTAGATTGTTTTTTTTTTTTATTTTTTTTTTTGAACCACAGATTGTTTTGTTTCATTGGCAAATTTTCGTTAGAGATCTACCTTACAAGTTACATCTGTAATTGAGATTAAGAAATTTGTGTTATGAGAACAGAGCTAGAGCTGATGTTCCGCCAGTTGTCTTACGACTCTTATCTCCTCAAACAAACAATATAACCCAATTGTCATCACAAGTTCTGAAACAAACTTGTAGAATTGTTCTTAGGCCAAATAAGAGTAAAAATATATACACTATCCAAAAAAAATTGTAGAGTCATTACTTGTATAAGAAGAAAACTTTATTTCTAATCAAATTCTAACGATAACATGATATCAACTGAGCCATTTCCAACTTATCTATCCATATCATCTGGTTGTTTTTGGAGTATTTTTAAAACCCTAAATCATCTGCTGTTGTTGCTGAATCACCAACACAGAAGCTTGACATTTAAGATCTTGTGAAGCCAATAAATCTCCAACCACACCAAGTTCCTCGAACTCACTCCACTCCTCAAGCCCTTCCGTGAAAACACTCTTCCTTCCTTTCTCTCTTCCAACGATAAACATATCATATTCATTCCCAATCGATTTCAACAACGTTGATGTTTGCGAGGCGTCATCCACTACTCTCTCGGAGTAGATAACTTCACCACCGTCCAGAGCATTGCTCTTCACGTCTCTGAGGAGCTCTAAATCGAGCATTCGATCCCAATCCGCTACTTGTTTGGATCTTTGTTCAGAAGAGATGAGACAAACCACTGTAATCTCTATCCGCGAGTTACGCGCCATTCGCTTGGCTAGTGTTAAAGCTTCTCGATCATCTTTACCTCCAAGAAAAAGCATACAAACTTTGTAAGATGAGAAGCTCGCAGCCGTCTCTCGGATTGTTCTCCTACCGTTATTACTACGGTAGATAAAGACTCCGACAGAGCACGGAGAGAGCTCAAGGACGCTCTTGTTCAGCTTCCGGATCATGTTGCTGTCGGAAACAATGGCTGATCCATCAGCAGACCAAGTCTGGTGAAAAGGAAGGATGATGAGAGACGTGGTGTTGTTCAATGCGAGCATACATATGTCTCCGTGCATAGTCTTGGGAACAGATAACGCCGTGTAAGTGCTGACGAAAACAGAACCGAAGAAGTCTTTGTGGAACTGATCAAACGAGGCGATGACGCTCTCCGAGTTGTAAGATGTGTCTTCGCTTTTACGCGTTTGCAAACGGTGAGAGATGAAAACGGGAGTGGCTCTTCCTATGAGCTCCATCAAGTGGAGAACGTATGTAGCTACAGGATTTTCTCTTGACGGAAAAGTAGCTTCAAGGAGATTGATCATGGGATGAATATCGTCTGTTCTGTAGATACAAGACAGTATCCTCAGCTCGGAGTTTGGTTTCATGTGAAGCATGTTCCGCTTCTCGTATCCTGCGTACATTCTCGAAGGATCGTATATACGTTTCAAGATCGGAGGTATGATTGCAGAGTTCAACAAGATGTAAAGGGATAAGATAGTGAAGGTCACAGGCCGGATAGACTGCAAATGAGAAAAATATTAAGTTAGATGAACTTCCAACCTAAGATCGATAAACTGATTGATCTATCTATCTTATATATTACTTAGGATCTCTTCCGACATGGAAAACTACTCAAACAGTTTGTATCAAAATGTTGCCAAATGTAAGATACTTACTCCTCTTTGAAACCCGAACGCATAAGCCCCGAGCTCGAAGATGCCTTTGAACGACATAATAAGAGACAGAGCAAGGCAGTCATTTATGGGCATTCGGAACAACAAGGCAGGGAGTGTCGTGAGAGCGAATTTGACGATAAAGGAAACAAAGACGATGACGAAGATAGTCTTTAAATCGGCCCAAGAATGTAAGAAAGATGTATCAAGCTCTTCCGCAGATGTAGCAACAAAGAAAGGAAGAAAAGTGCCGAAAACCGCAGACTCGAACTTCTGAAGTATCGCAGATCCCAAAGGCGGTCCGTGCGGAACCGCAAGGCCTAGGATAAAAGGTCCAAGAAAGATAGATTGCTTGCACCAATCCGCAAGAACGGCTGATCCAAAAACGAGAATGATGATGAAATATATATAAAACTTCTTCACGGGACGACCAGAAGGTGTTCTGTTGATGATAACGAACATTAGTGGTCTGAAAACGTATATAGCGAAACAAACAAAGAGCACTCCTGTGCCTGCACGTTTCAAAGGACGGTCTCCAACGTTAACATCTCCAATGAACATGGAACCGAGCCGAAATTTATCCTCCCTGAGTTCTTTCAAGAAGACGAGAACCGCGGAGAGAACCGAGGTGCTGAAGTCGCTGATAACCGCAGAAGACATAGCGAGACGACCAAGCTCTGAGTTCTGTAGCCTCAGCTCGAAAAGAAGGTTTCCGATTACAGGGAACGAAGAAAGGCATTGGATTGAGTAGATGACTATGACTTCGTAGAATTTCACAGATGTTTGTCCATTTTTGGTCCCAAAATCTCTTAAGATGACGAAGAAGATCAAGGAGCAAACGGTTATAGAGAGTAACACGGAGGAGAGACCAATGGTGATGGCTTTCTTCCCTGTGTTGCGGACTAGACTCAAGTCCATTTTAACTCCCATCAAGAACCAGAACATCATGTATGAACACGCACCAACTAGACCAAACAGAGTGTCTTTGTAGTCTTCTGTCGAAAAGAAGTTTCTCGCGGGTGTATTCTCTTTTAGAAACGACTTGCTTAGAAGGATCCCGGTCTGCAAAAATATATACACATTTTTTTTAATAATCCTCCAGACCCGAAACCACATCATATAATATTAATTTCGTTTCAGCGGTGACTCGCAAAATACATATTTAGTCGGCCTTGGATCAAAGTAAGAAACAATTTTAAAGATTGGTTTACTTTTTTTGACTTACAAGCATGTGGGAAGTGAAACGAATCATGCCAAGACGTTTGAAGAAGAAATGGAAGAATTGCCATAAGACGGTGACGATGAGGAAAATGATCTGAACATGTGGAAACATGTAGTTCCAGAACTCAATATTGGCTATAGGATCTTGGAGTTTAGTGGATGGCCATATCCCGTTAGAGCTCGGGTTTAAGGGCAGGACACCGCAGATTGTGTTTCCTTCTCTCCATGTGTCTCTAAGGTAAAGATTCCTATCATCTCCAAACTCCATTGTGACAAAAAGAAAAAATAAGGTTTCTAACAAGAAGCAAAGATGATAGAAACAAAAATCAAGATGAAATGATTATGGAAAGAATTGAAAACAAAGCTACAATTGTTTTAAACAAAATGTTTTGGTTAACGGATTTGGAGTGAAACGAAACAACATCTGCTTTTTGTTTCTTTGTAATAACTATAATTCTCTAATAATAGTCAAATCCTTGTGGAAACGAACAAGAGGGGGCAGGCAACATATATTTTTTACATTGCAGATTTCTGGTTAATGGTTATTTGTTAAGTTTATTTCTGCTTTTTGTTTAGTTGTTAATTTAAGCGTCCATCTACTTGAACAGACTAATGAAATACAAAATAGCTTCAACAAAATATAATAAGTTGATGAAAATATTTATACTCTTCTTAACATTTTCAACATTTCCAAAATAATGTTTTAAATAGCAAAATAAAAAGAAAGACAAATGCAGCAAAGATTAACAAGAAAAAACTTGGATCCTGGCCCCCTTTCTCTATGTTCCTGCAACCATAATGCAATGGTGAATTAACATCTGCGTCTGACGCTAAACCTTAAACTGCTAAACTCCATTACACAACCAAGTTTAAAATGCCGATTGTTCAGAGTTCACATTACAATTCGAACAGAGACACAAACTACTAGTAAGCCATACTAAGAGTAGAGAAAATACCTTGGGATGCAGCAGTAGCAGTCTTGAGTACTGAAAAGAGTTAGTTGGCGAAAACATTAAGCCTAACTCGAGCAGTGACATCAGGGTGAAGTTTGAGTTCAGCTATGTATTCACCGGTTTCACGGATCTCCGGAAGAGAGACAAGTCGCTTGTCTATATCTCTGTTAAAAAACCTCAGCCACATTAGGCTGGCTTCAAAAGAATAATGAAAGCTTTTGTGAAAGCTTTTGGTTACCTTTGCAGCTGGGACTTGATGATGTCAACGAGGTCTTGTGCTGTGACACTGCAAAGCAAAAAAAAAAAAAATATTAAAAGTTAAACCAGAGAGACTAAAAAATGATTCTGAAGGCCAGGACAGGACAGGACAGGACTTACGATCCGAAAATTAGTTTGCCTTTACCACCCTTGCGTTTAATCTTGAAAGCCCCAACGGTTTCAAAGACAGTGGCCAATTGTTGCGCCTCTTCTTTCACCTGAAAAGAAGTTTCACACAAATGAATAAGCTTTTCTTCATCACTCAAAACAAAACAAAAAACAATGAATGTATTTAATCTCAGATTTATTTACCCTTTGCTTTTCTGCCTCTATCCTTTCGTTTTCCATCTTCATTTCCCTAACAAAATGAACAAAAGGTTAAAATTAAAAAAAAAAAAAAAAATTCTAAGACTCAAATTGAATTCTTCTATTTCCTTACCGATTTCTTAAACTTTTCTAAGCTATTTTCAATCTTACAGCGTTTGTTGTGTGAATTAAAAAGATTTAAAACTGAATATTACTTGAGAAGAATCGGAGTCATGAGCTGAGCTTTTCCAGTGGGCAACAAGAAGTTTCTGAAGAATCCAGCTTTCACGTCAAGCAATTGCCCTTGCTTTCCCAAGTCCAACACATCCTCTTTCAAGATTACCTTCACTCAAAACAAAAAGATTCTCTTTAAAATCAAGTTCACTTTCATCTCCATCAAAATCAAGAAAAGACTTTTTACCGTGCGGAGTTTCTTGGCTTTCTTCTGCGCAACAATCTCCAGAGTGGACCTTCGCTGGGATACTTTTAGGGTTTCATTTCCGTGGACATTGAAAGTGTGAGACGAACAAAGGGAGGAGCTCCATGAGAGTGACAAAGAGGAAGAAGCCATTGCCGAAAGCTTATTCAGTTCCCGAGCAGAGATTAAGAAAAGACCAGACAGCTTTGTAAGTCTTCTTATCTTCTTCTTATCGGCTTGCTCTGTAACATATGTTTTTTTCTCAGTGTTTCGAATTTGACCCCGTAATTATTAGTTATTTTCGTTTTCTTTCTTTGTACTTTTTAAAATTAAATTATGTACCTAACATATAAGCTTTGTCTGTTTGAGTCCAATGATGCCTATAGTTTATTGATTTTTCTTAGAAATCATATCTTCAATCATTTTTTTTCTAATGATCTAATAGGCCATTGGTTATACCAGTTACAAATTTTACTATAGCTATAGAAATTAAATGAGAGAAAAAGATATTCTTACAATAATCATACATTAATATCTTTTTTTTTGTTTTAGAAAATAAGATTTTTACATCTTTTTTTTTTTAAAAAATAATTAGCATTAAAAATTACTTAAAACATAATTGATGATTTATATGGTTGTAGATAGAAAATAAAACTAAAACTAATAGTTAAATTCCAATCAATTGTTAATTTCCTAGATGTTGTGTTTCTCAAAATGGTGTTTTGATTTTGTGATGCAATGTATCCTGTCTATTTGTTGTTTGTTTGTTATTGTCTTTGATTGACTTTGTTGAACAAAAGAAGTTTCCCATGAGAAAAAAAAAAGTTATGCATCTGCCAAGAAAGACAAGGTTTCCAAACAGAAATTTAATTCAATTTATTCAAGCAAGGAGTACTGTTTTCCTGAACTTGACATGGATGTACATAGTGAATCTTGTAGTGTCTAGAACTCTTCAGAGTTTGAATATAGGGGAGGAAGTCCTCAATTGAGGGGTCTCCCATGATTAGGAACAGGTTTGATGGATTGGGATTATTACATGACCAGGAACGAATGTCTTCGAGCATCTTGGTGTGCCGCGCAACGTCATCTCCTGAACAAAAACCAATATATATATATATATATAAATAAAAGATTGGCAAAAGAGAGTAAAGGGTATCAAATTTACCAACCTGCTGGAAAGTGAGTGAAGGTAACTCCAGCCGAGAGAAAGTCATGATCTTTCTCATCACCATATGCCATGATTGTGACCTTACCACGATGACCAGCATCAAAAAGGGCCTTTTTGATTCTCTGCGTCACCACACATGCATTGTGATCACCAAGCATACATTGGTCTATGTCCCAGAATGCGACTATTGAAGCCACTGACATGTGAAATACATTTTAAATTAGATCGATTCATTCAGTTACTACTATGATCAAATCTACTCTCTGTTTTGTACTTAAACAGACACAAACATCATCTATTGACAGATCCTTCAAAAAAAAATCCCAAAATGTAACAAAGCCATCCCAGAACTAGACAATTGAACAAGTCATCTAAGGGAGAGACATAGAGACTCTTACCGGCGTAAAAGCCTGGGAGAGGGTTTTTTGGGCATATCAGACATTGTTATGAGTCTATTTGTTGAAAGGTAAAAGGTTGGTTTCTAATAACATTGCCCGGATGAGAAAGACTAGGGTTTACATCTCCAAGAAAACACGGATAAGTCGGCTAATGATAAGACATACGTTGGGCCATTGAATCTTTTTAGTATAGTTTAATGTGTTTATTATTGTCGGCTTGTAAAATGTTTTTATTATCAAAAAAATTAAAAAAAAATCTAAACTCAAATTAAATTCAAAGGTCTACGCTTTGTGTTTCCATGTAACATGCTACATTTTAGCACCAAATAATTAAGTCCTTATTTCATTTATAAAGACTATAATTTAGCTTCCAATTGGTCTACGTGTAGATCTGGTCTTAAAATAATAATTTTGCACAAAAACGTAGCTGTTTATCACCAAATAATTTACATAGTAAAATGATTATATAGTTTACTAATAATTGGTATTGCCTTAGACGTGGTCTTCAATAATAATTTAGCACCAAAGAATTGGAGAACTCTATAAATTATTTGTGTTTTTCCTTGACTTTTAATAGTTGGATTTGGATGAGAAAATAAAAGAGATCAAAAGTGATGTTTGGCCCTTTCTTGGGCAAGAGCGAGCATATCACAATCATCATTGGCGATTCTTCATCAACGGATGAGCAAACACGACGTGAACGTTTTTGGAACTCAGTGGAGTTTGTGACGAGTTTTGTCCAGATTGTTGCAGCCATAGTAGTTTTAACTCGAGCAAAAGATGAACATCCAGAGACGACATGGATCATTGGTTATGCTTGTGGTTGTATTGCAACTCTACCTATACTATATTGGCGTTATTGGCACTACCAAAATTTTGTCTCAGAGATAAGGTATAAATTACAAAAGCTTTATTGACTGGTAGGATTGTTTGTTTGAGATAGGAGAAAAAAAAGATAATGGTTTAATTGGTTTTGCAGAATCAACGATGTGGTGGACACTTTGAGTAGGATAGTTACATATTTCTTCGTGGGTTGGTTTGTGTTGTTCGTATGTGTTTTCTTAATTGGCAACTCATCTCTAGATCATACAAGTCAACCCTTCGGGTACGCAATGAACATAAGTTTATAATTTATGTCACAAAACATAATATTTACCTCTCTGATATAATAGTATTCATCACCATTGTTCTTTGCAGGTTATGCATGGTTTTTCTTGCTTTCGTCTCCATGCGACATGTTATTCCTAATCTAATATGGTCAATAATATTTTTCTGTTGTCATGGAACTTTATGTATTGATGAACTTTGCTCTTTGGGAAGGTATTAAAGCGTACATCAACGAATAATACAGTGGTGTGGATCATATGTTATTTTCTTCTTTTCAAATACAGTTCTTGCAATACTCTCTATAAACATTATTTATTTTATCAAAGTAAGGCCAATTAATTACTGACACCTCTACTTGAACTCACTGAGCGATGCAAACCTGAAAGATAACAAGACAACGTTCTAGCTAAAGAGTTATAAACCAAGTGGTCGTAATTTTCTTTTAGGGCTCAGCGTGTTGGTCTTGTTGTTTGATCAAACTAAGCTTAGTTTTGGGTCCAAATGATTAACATAGTGGACCGTATCCAAACAGTGGACCGTATCCAAACAGGATTAACATGGTGGACCGTATCCAAACAGTGGACCGTACAGGTCAGGATTAACATGGTGGACCGGACCATATCCAAACAGTGGACCGTATACGTACAGGATTAACATGGTGGACAGTATCCAAATAGTGGACCGTATACAAACAGGATTAACATGGTGGACCGTAACAGTATCTAAAAGCCTAGTCCTAAATGTGTTCTTACCGGAACTGATAGGGTTTATTTTTCAAAAGAAAAGAAGCTAAAGAGTTATACGCCGGCAGGGTGGTGGTGGTACTGTAATTTTTGCTAGAAGTTGCTATGGTTTTGATTTACAAAGTTGTATGATGATTATACAAATATCTATTCAATTTCAGAATGCACGTAATCTCTGAACACAAAGTTCTTCTCTTTTTCATGTAAAGCATATGCAGAAGCAGCTGAGATCAAAGCTAAACCGGCCAGAACCAACCGAATCTGAACATCCGAAGGAACACCAGCCGTGGCGCCAAAGAAAACCGTAGTGCCAACAAGAAACTTCTTGAGGATTTGGAAACCCTTGTATGCTCCTTTACAAGAAGAACACACTTGTGTATGCTGCTCAAATCTATCCATCATCTGTTTTTTTTTAATTCAAACATGTCAGCTTTTGATATATGTGTATATATAGAAGGCATGGATCAATGGCTTACCTCGCGTTTGGTTAAGACAGTGGAAGGGAGAGGTTGGTTAGCTTTAGTGGAGCCGAACCACTCAGGCTGACTCTTGCCGTGCCGTCTAAGCCAGTTTCTGAAAGCTAGTACAAAACGGTCTGCTTGTGTTGGAGTGAACGTGAGCTTTGTGTACTGTTTGTTCACATCGTAGTCTGGTGACTCCATTGATTTAGAGAGGAACACTTTCTCTTGTCCCTGAAGTACAATCATGTCTCCGTCATACACTAAGTTGGAAGTCCAGTGTTCGTACCATCTTGGTACAACCTAAAACAAGGAACAACATGAGAAGAAGCTTTGTGTAGAAAAAATGATGGAACCAAAGTTTTGTTTGCTTTTTACCTGCCACCAAGCGGGTCCAGGTACAGAGAATTGGAAGAAGTTACGTGCGCTGCAAACAATGGAACGGGTCTTCCCTGGAGCCATTGGTATATTAAATGAGCAAATCCATATAACCCATTTTTGGTTACCGACGATTGGTAGCTTCGCATCTATCTCAATTCTGTTAACACAATAAATCCCAAAATAAGTTAGGAGCTAACCACTTATGTGTTGTGTGTGAAACTTAAGAGACTCACTTGTTAAGAGAATAGCATGGAGCAACGAATTTTGCGGTAATCTTTGGACTGTCGTCATTGGCTCCTTGGAAACCCCAAGGACCACTTGACTCCACCTTGAAGGGCAATGGTTTGGCTCTGTCTCTTCTTCCTGTAACCTGTTTTACAACACGAAAACAAAGCCTGAGGATGGTTTACATATCAACACACTATGGGAGCTTTTAAAATAGAAACAAACCTTGTGATGAGCAAAATCAATATGGGAAGGATCAGATACGTTTTCCATGAGAGTATCATATCCATAGAAAAGATCCCTCTGAATTGTCACCGTTGAAAACTCTGGTTTATCAAAGTCATCCGGCAACCTAATAAAGTTAAAAAGATCAAAAGCTTTATTAAAGTTTGCTGTGATAAGCAACCAAGTTTAACCCCAAGAAGAGACTAGTTTACCTAGGAGGTTCAATGGAATTGGCTCTGTCCCATCCATTTTCATCAGGCCAAACAAAGAGAAGACCTTGAGACACCATAGTTGGGAACTTAATAGCACAAGCTCTCGGAGACTTAACAGCTTTAGCTTCAGGACCTGAAGTAGCAGCCTGTGGAATCCTAGTGCAAGATCCACACCCAGCAAAAGACCATCCATGATATGAACATTGCAAGTGTCCATTCTCATCCAACCTTCCTTCCTAAAAAAATACCCACAACACATCAACACATACACAACACATCTACTTCCTTATATACATTACAATATGAGTAGGCTACACAAATGTCCAGAAACTGACTTAAGTTCAAAACTTGTGTTACCAACCACTTAACCATAAAGTTGACTTGTTTTGCTCAAGTCAACAACAAAACAAAGACATAACTGTTGTTAATATTTCACTGAAAACATGCAATGTTCAATTGCTAGGCGGTGTTTAGACTTTGACCAATGATCTCTCCACTTAAACTCACCTAGATCCGTTTTTTAAAAATAAACTAGATTTTGAACCCGCACATCCGTGCGGGTAATTTTTCATTTTATAAAAATATAAAAAAATCTTTCAGATATATCATTTACATTTTATTTTTATATTGTATAACTATAGAATCTTATTATTTTAATTATTTTATATAATATATTGTTGTCATTTTTTAAAAATATCAAATATATTTTTTAGATAATGTATTTGTTGTGAATTATAAAAATATATGTCAACATTTTTTGTATAAAAATATTACATGATTTAAAAAAATTAATATGTTTTAACAGTGAATAAAAGAAAATTTTAAAATAAAATATTTTTCTTTACCAATTTAATAAATTTTTATATTAATTTCACATAGCATTTTATTTTAATATAATATAAAAAATCATTAAATTATAAAATATACCAATTTTTATTTTTAATTAACATTAATATATATATATATATTAATCACGAAATTAAATAATATATATTTTATAAAAATATTTAACTTTCTTGATAAGATCTTGTTAGATATTTTCTCAACAGATTTTGTTATAAATGAAATTAAAGATAACTTTATAGTTATATATTATTAAAATATTTCTTCAGTAATATATATTTGGTTGATTAATATAAATAATCAAATATGTTATATTAATAAAATAGTCCAATATGACTTTTTATAGTAGATATAAATGGTACTTCTCTTTTAATATAGAAGATTAGTTTAAAAGAATTGTTTATTCATACTCAATTTTCCTACTAAACTATACCGATTTTTAAAATTAAACAACAAGAAGCTGACAAGAGATTAGAATAATTTACAATAAACAATCTTTTTGGAACACAACTTTTACAATAAACAATCAATCTCCAATAGTTTATTCATCTAATCAAAATCATTAGACCAAACAATTAAACTATTTGTTGTCTCAAGAAACAGAGATAGAGAGAGAGAGAGAGATTATATACAGAGAGAGGAGCGAGGCGGTGAGGGCAGAGATCATCAAAGGCGGCCCATTTCTGCTCATTCCGATCAAACCACAAGACAAGGTCTCGACCCAGAAGCTGAAACCGGGTAGGCGAACTCGGATCCAAATCCTCCACAAGAGAAACCGGATACCAATGATCTCTCCACTTAAACTCGGACCCTTCTTCCTCCTCCTTCTCTCCGCCGTCCTCTTCTTCGATCCGCCTCTCCTCCGCCGGATCCGAAGTGGGTACTGACGGCGGCGCCGCCACGCGAAGTGGGTTACCGGAAAGTTTCGATCTTTGAGGAGGGATCGAGAGTTTTGACGGGAATTTGAGGGAGTTGGGAGATAAAAAGGGGATTTTTATGGAATTGGATTTGGTTAGTGTAGCTGAAGCTGAAGAGACTAAAACCACTGACATGTTTTTGTGTCTAGTTTTGATGTGGTTTGGTTTCGAATGTAGTTTGGTTCTTATTGAAAAGGTTGTAAGAGATGGGCGAGAAAGAGGTTGCGTGCAAGTTTTGCGTTTTTTCGTTTTGGCTAACTGTTGAACTTGAACACTTGTTTTCACACGTGGTGGAGTTTGGCACTTGGCAAATATGAACGTTGTTGATCAAACATCTCAACGTTTTGGTTCTTTTTTTCTTCAACCCAATGATGCTATGGATGGGATTAACCGACCAAATCTATGGCTTCTGCTTGTTTTCAATTTTAAGATATTAGACTTTTTTTTTTCTTTTGGTTTTTAATCGAAAACTATACTTCCTCAGTTTCATTTTTTGTGATGTTTTAAGATTTTTGTTTTGTTTAAGTGATGTATTTATGTGAAAAGTAAATGTAATTTGATATTTAAAATTATTTGAATTTTGCAATATAATTTTTTTGATTGAATTAACTGTAATTGTTGTTATTTCTATGCCAACGAAATAGAGTGAATAAATGTTAACTAGATCTCGACCCGCACAACCGTGCGGGTATTTTAATATGAAAATATTTGAAATTATATAATATTTCTTTTCTTTTCAAATTAGATGATATTTTGAAAGATTTATTTTGTTTTAAAATATAAGATGTTTTAAACATTTAAGGGATATTTTGAAGTTTTAAGGTTATTTTTAACTTTATTAGAAATTTTTAACCGATAAAATTTTATTCTTTTTTTAATAATTGGCTGAATGATTTTAAAGTTATATCTTTGAAAATACCTTTGTAAAAGATGTAAATTTCTTAATCTTTGTACAATGATTCAAAACATCATATATTAAGAAACAAAGAGAGTGAAATTTATCAATAAATAAATCTAATTTGATTATGTATACTATCTAATTTTATAGTAATATTTATGTGACTTATAATATTATTAATATAAAATTTATAAATTTGTATTTTTGTAACAATTTTAAAAAACATTATTATGTAACATTACTAATTTATATATTTTATTTTATTTCTAAGTTTGAAATATATGTAAAAAAAATTAAGTTGGACCTACATAACACCTTAACAAAATATTGGGATATTTTTAAAAGTATTTTACGTAGTTTAAATTTTTTTGTATATAATAAAGAATGAATTAAAATTTTAATTATATTTTATGATAATTAAAATTTTAATCAAATAATTTTTGAAACTATATCTTGAAAATATTCTAAAAGATTTTGTTAGAATTTTCTTAAAACTATTTATTTGTATTTCAAATAAAAATTAAAGATATGAAAAGATATTATAATGATATTATGTAAAATTGAAATTTCTAATGATGGTCTAAACTAAAAAAATCACACATGAAGTGAGTTATGACTTCTCTTTTAATATAATAGATAGGTGTAAAAAAACCTTATGAATAAATTATTTTGAAGCAGAGGAATTTATTTAATCAGATTCACTAAAAGTCTTTAACATAAAAGATAAAAATGACGGAAAAAATACAAATATTAGTACTGTCTTAAAAATAAAATAAAATACTTGTCTCTTTTTTATTTAAATATTAACCTTAAGTATAATGCTCAGAATTTTAGGACTAACAACCAAGAAATGTGACACAATTCTCATAGTAAAATTCAAATTGTAAATTTAGAAATCAACATAATGATGACAAGAAAAAACCCACACACGCAAGCATGATTACATCACTGTAATTGCAACACATAGTTTGAGAATGATCTACATTGATCATGGCCTCAATTTTTCCGAAGCACAATGAGGTATTGCATCCCTGGTTTAGCTTTGGCTATCTGAGGAAGCATTTCTTGTGTCTTTTCCTTCACAAGCTCAAAGGTTTTCTCCATTACATCTTGCCCAAACTGTGAAGCTACAGTTCCTCCTACCGTCACTTTAAACGTGAGCATCAAATACTCTGGGTCTAAAGGATACTCCCCCTTCGCATGCCTAATGCTCTCGAATAACTCAGTCGTGAAACATTTGTTCTCCTCAATGATTCCTTTCAACTCATCCGCATGTGCAAGATATATAGGCAATTTGAATGTGTCAAGCTTTTCTTGATCTATCAGACCCTTTTGATAAAAAGAGAAAGCAAAATATGTTAGTATAGGCAGAACCGACTCTGAAATTTTGAAGGTCGACGATGTAGTAGAAATTTCAATAAAAAACATTTTTATAAATTTAGAGGTCTATTTCAATATAATTTTCTTCAAAATTTTGGGGGTGCCCAAGACCCGTTCTAGTATAGGTGAGTATTGTTATTTAAAAAAGATGTAATTAAAAGATTTGTGTTACCTGCTTAGCCATTTCATCAAGGGAAGATCCAATGAAATCTATCATCATTCCATTAACGGTTTCGGACATTAGAACTCCATTTGGTAGACATGATCCAAGAAGCAATAGCAACCCACCAGACACGAGCTCTTGAGCTCTCGCGTTCAAGAAACTCCCCACATCGATCTTGTACTGATCACGATACAAGTTCGCAACCTTTTTGGAGAATCCCGTGCAATGTATGTCCTTGTTCCACACCGGAGAATTGCGATCTTTAATTCCTTTGGGAATCTTGGATACGAAATGGAGTGAGTAAGAAGAAACTCCCACGTGGAAACTGTTCTTAGGAAGAACACGACCAAAGAAAGAACCGGGAACTCCGGTCGCGAAATATCTTCTACTCGGAGGAAGTGTATTGAAGAGAGTGTTGAAATCGTTGTTTGAAGAATCGTTGAAGAAAACTTGGAACTCAATGTCTTTTTGATACTTGTTTTCCACGGCATCTACTATGGTTTGTACCGCAGCGAATGTGTTTGGTCCTGTGGAACAACCGAAGTCTGCTATGTTAACGAGACTTGGAGTGAGATCGATGTCGAGCTTCGTGGAGATGGCTTCGTTGATCTTCTCTTTTGCAGCTTCAAGTAATGCTCCCTTATGAATATACATAAATGTTTTGCAATCAGTATCTCAAAGCGCAAACGAGATGAACTTAATTTGATAGATTATATGAAAATCATATATATATATATATATATATATATATATATATATATATATATATATATATATATATATATATATTATTAGTAAACAAACCTGGTATTTTGAATGTTGTTGGTAACTGTTAGGACCTTCACCCCCAACCATCGTGAATGTATTCGACATGCTTATCTTCTTTCTTGTCTTTTGACAGGTTTTTATTTTATTTGCTTGTGTGTCTGTGTGTTTGAGGCTGTGATGATCTTTAGCTGCAAGTGTCTATGCATATTTATATCAATTGTCCTTTGGGATACTGGGGGAGATACTATTTTTTTTCTTGAGAAATAGAATAATCAATAAAGATAATGGAATCATTATGCATGTGTTCTTTAGTCACGGAATATCTACTATATGCTTATACTATTCAACTGCTTGCCTGAGAGCAATAATTTTGTGGAGGGTGCCGATTTAAATATACATTTTTTTCCAACTAATGCGTCCCAAAAACGTGCAAATAAAGAAAATAATGTATATATTATAGTTAGTACATTATATTTAGAGTTTTAGAAATAACTAAACGTGTGTGAGAGAATTGATAAATAAAAACGAAATATTTAAATATCAACGCTGGACAACTATTTTTCCCACCCATACATTAAACTAGAAGATTACTCTTTAATCTGAAATCTATAATCTTGATAAATCAATTTATGAACGTGAGGATATTTTAATAGTATATCATTTTCTTAGTCGTCTACAACTTATACACATGTTTTTACTTTGCTACATTGAAAAGAAGATTTACATACTTCAAAATCTCTTATATTCAAAGATCACAAAATCGAACAACAGATGGTTTATGAAAAACTACCATCAAGTTATACACATGTTTTTACTTTGCTACATTGAAAAGAAGATTTACATACTTCAAAATCTCTTATATTCAAAGATCACAAAATCGAACAGTAGATATGTTGGTTATTCTACCACCAGTTATCTTTTGTTGGTTATTCTATTTTGATATAATTTTCAAATCACCTCAAATTTAATACTAAACTAGATCTCGACCCGCACAACCGTGCGGGTATTTTAATACGAAAATATTCGAATATATATAATATTCACTCCGTTTTAAATAGATGATGTTTTAAAAGATTTATATTCTTTCAAAATATAATATGTTTTGAGATTTAAGGTATATTTTGGAGTTTTAAAGTTATCTTTAACTTTATTGGAAACTGTTCAACCGATAAAATTTTACTCTTTTTAATATTTGGTTGAATGATTATAAAATTATATCTTTAAAAATAATTTTGTAAAAGAATGTAAATTTATTAATTTGTGCAATGATCCAAAACATCATATATTAAGAAACGGAGGAAGTAAAATTTATTAATAAATAAATATAATTTGATTGTATATACTATCCAATGATCATAAATAATTTATGTGGCCTATAATAATATTAATTTAAAATTTCTAAATTTTTATTTTTGTAACAATTTTTTAAAAACATTATTATGTAACATTACTAATTTATATATTTTGTTTTATTTCTAAATTTTAAATATATATATATATATATATATATATATATATATATAAAGTAAATTAAATTAGACTTACATAATACATAAACAAAATTTTGGGATATTGTTAAAAAATGAACTAAAATTTTAATTATATTCTATGATAATTAAATTTTTAATCAAGTAATTTTTGAAACTATATCTTGAAAATATTCTATAAGATTTTTAAAAGATTTTGTTAGAATTTTTTTAATATTATTTATTTGTATTTCAAATAAAAATTAAAGATATGAAAAGATAATATAATGATGTTATGTAAAATTTTATAAAATTTCTAAGGATGGTCCAAACTAAAAAATCATACATGAAATGAGTCATGACTTCTCTTTTAATATAATAGATAATAAATTAGTCTTTTGATATGTTAAAAATATTTTTACTTTAGAAAGGGATTACATCATGGCACCAACACTGATATAAAATATTATGCTCTGACATCGGTATTTTAATGTAATACTTTGTACCTGGAATATAAACATTTTTTAAAAAATATTCAAAAATGCATGTTTTAATTTTTATGCAATTTTATTAACTAATAATAGTGAATTGTAAACTTAAAAAAAAATTGTACCTCTTGAAAATATTATTTATTTAGAATTATAGAATTTGAGTAGATACAAAAATAATATATTATTTTCAAATTTATTATGTTTAATATATGTCACAACACATAAACATACATCTTTTAGGAGTATATGGTGTACAACACATAAACATACATCTTTTAGGAGTAGATGGTGTACTAATTAGAAAAAAAAAATAAGGAATTTCTTGAAAAAAGTAGACCATTTTTTCAAGAAGCTACGGCAAAAAAAAATTTAGGGGTTAAAGATTAATTTTAGATTTATAATTTAGTTCATAAAATTTACGAATCAAATCAGTATGAGAAATAAGAAAACCAATGGCTTGAAGAAAAAGTGCCCTCTAGCTAGTACACACTGGTAACAGCGTGGTCTTATTTTACCCAAAAAAAAAAAACAGCGTGGTCTAAATGTCTTTGCCCAATTTAAATAACTTAAATCTAAGAGCATCAATATCAGTAGGACTTTGTAGCAAGTCTTTAGAATTTTTTAGGTATCATCGAAGATACTGATAGCATTGCCATTGAAAATGTCAGAAAAACAATGAATAGCTCAAGAATAGAAAGTTTATGTTCAGAAGATTCAAACAACGATGAGAATGATGGTATTTATTTCTGTTCATATATTTTAATTATACATTTTCGATCAGTTGAACTTAACATACTTTTATTGTGGTAAATGAAGTAGTAATCTTTGGATGGTAGTAATCTTTGGATGTGAAAGACAACATGAGCGCATGAAACATCACAATTCTCTTTGTGTCATTTTTAAGTTTGGTTGAATATTTTTTTTTTATTGATCTAGGGTATTTTAGATCCATGGAAAGGTCTAGATAAATTTTTAAGAGAATGTGCAATCTACAGATATATTCTTTTTACGGACATTCAAATAAGTCATAAAGCATGAGTCCATATCCATATTAGGTGACTACAAATAATTGTGACTTAGTTTCACGCCGCATGTTGACTGTGAAAGACAACATGAGCACATGAAACATCACAATTCTCTTTGTGTCATTTTTAAGTTTGGTTGAATATATATATTTTTATTGATCTAGGTATTTTAGACCCATGGAAAGACCTAGACAAATTTCTAAGGGAATGTGCAATCTACAGATATACTCTTTTTACGGACATTCAAATAAGTCATAAAGCATGAGTCCATATCCATGTTAGGTGACTAAAAATAATTGTGACTTAGTTTTGCGCCGCATGTTGATCGAAGATAAAACATGTTTGTGTCCTAGTTCTGCCCCTTATCACTTGACTACAATCGATCTTAAATATGCATTTTCTATATATTATTCTATGTTTTCTAAAACATATATTTAGGAGTGTGCTTTGTTTTTGAACACTGAACTTATAAACATCTGCAATTAATTTTTAGATATACAGACCCAACTTTATTGTTTTTGTGAGAGTGATGAGATATTGGGCTACGATTATATGCATTTATTACAAAATATTAGAAAGCATTAATATATGTCAGAGACAAGAATTGAATAAAACTGTATTTAGTAGAAACAATATAAATGGACCTAGGCCTAGGCGTTTTTATCTCAATCCGAAGTACCGACTTTAATTCAAACCGAAAAAATCGAAACTGAATCCGAACTATTTTACAAAAATATTCGAATGAGACTTATAAACTTATTACTTTGGATTTTGGTTATAACCCGAACCAAAGCGAAATCCGAATTAGGATCCGAAAATATCTGAAATTGGTTAAATATGTTAATTTTTTATATATGTTAAGCTGATTTAGATATTTTAGAGTATTCAAAATATTTTTACAGTTTGTTTTATTTGTTATTTTTGAATACCTTTTAGTTAATTTAGGTAGTTTAACTAATTTTAATTAGATTTGTAAATAATTTATATATTTTGAATCTTTATTGTTAATTTTGAAGGTTTTAAAAAATATATTTTGGACGATTTTAAACAATGGTTAGATCCGATCCGAACTGAACCCGGAAAAAACTGAACCGAACCTGATCTGATAATTAGTAAAACTGAATGGTATTTATGAATATAACACCGAAAATCCGAATCCGATCACCTGAGCCGGAACCAAATGGATTACCGAACGTCCAAACCTAAATGGTCCTATCAGACCTAAACTGATATATTCAAGTTTAATGGATTTGAAACTAAGCGAACTTTAACGAATACTAGATTTTGACCCGCGCAACCGCGCGAGTGTTTGTTTTCGTTTATAGTTAGTTATATAAAAATTTTGTTTTCACTTGTAAATTGGTATATATTATAATAATCACATATTTACGATATGTATAGTAAATATTTTTCAAACATAATAATATTACATAATACATGTTTTTATCAAATAGATTGTTTTAAATTTTCTATATTATACATGTTTTTGAAACATATTTTTTCTTCTATATTTTATTGTTTGTTAGATTAGTATTTCATTTTTAGATAAATTAATATAAATAGAGTTTGATTAAATATTAATATAGATAATATAAACATCGAAGAAATTTTTGCTAAAAATTAAACTTATAGCTTCATAAATTAATATTATAAAGAATTTTATTAAAATATTTTTTTTAAACAATTTATTTTTTTTGAAAAAACAATATAATTATAAAAATTTACATCGAAATAAATTTATCTTGTATATATAGCGTGTAAAATTTGTTAGGGTACACAAATATTCCATAATACGAATATGTGATTTTTGTTAATATATTGTGGATGCATTTAATTATTATTGACATATTTCCTTATAAAAATAGAAGATTACCAAAACAAAATTGTTAAGCGTATATTGTTACTATAGATATGATTTTTTATAAGATATAATAATGATAAGATTATTAGAGAGTTAATGTAACATGACTCAAGAGTTAGAGATATACTAAGTTTAGTGAGAGAGAAAAGAGAGAGAATCGTGTTTAGAGGTAGCCCCGTCGTCCGGCTGCGCGTCCGAGCGCGTGTCGGCGACGGCGGCCCCCTTTCTTGTCAAAATAGTCTAGCCATTGTGTTGTAGGCTCCGATCGGTGGTTCATTTCCGATATACTGACGGATCTGGGTTAGGG